GTTCTACAGATAAAGCTTTTGAGACTCGCGCCGCTCAACTTACCTCATACCTTCTCAAACGAGGTTACAGCCATAAATTCGTCACCAAACAAATACAACGCGCCGCTGACATCTCCCGCACACTCACCTTACAAACTAAAGACGTAAAAAAACCTAACCGTATTCCATTTATAACTACTTTTAATCCGTCGCTTCCTCACATCTCCAACATCATCAAAAAACACTGGCATCTACTGCAGTCTTCTAACCGCTGCAAAAAAGCTTTTCCTCAGCTGCCAGTTGTCGCCTTCAGACGCTCCCCCAACCTTCGCGACACATTAGTAACAGCCAAACTCCCCTCTAATTCTACCACTTCCCATCCTCAACTCCCCCCCGGCTCTTTCCGTTGTGGTAGAAACTGCGCTACTTGCCCCTACATCTCTGACGGTCTTACTAACTATACCTTTTTTTCTACCGGCGAAACACGTCCCATTAAATCTCACTTGACCTGTGACACTAAAAACCTTATCTACTTAATTCAGTGTAACCGCTGTAACTTACAATACATAGGAGAAACTAAACGACGTTTAAAAGACCGTTTTAATGAACACCGCCGTACCATTGATAAACCTAACTCTAAATCTAAACCTACTACAGCGGCAGAACACTTCATTTCCTCTCCTAACCACTCTGCTCACGACATGGAGCTAATCGCCATCGAAAAAGTGTTTTCCAAGAGAGACTCGATACGCAAGGCCAGGGAAGCTTTTTTAATTTCAAGAGGCAACACTATTTATCCAGATGGCCTTAACGCTCGCGAAGAAATGTATTAGTTTCTAGTTATTTATCCAATTTACCTTACTTCATTTCTATTTTTGCTCACTATTTCTATTTTTATTGTTATCTCATTGTCAATCAAATTAGTTTTACATATTTCCGCTGTTACATCATACAGCTATCTATGAAGCATCACCCCAATTCTCTGTTAATTCCCACTGCACCTGAAGAAGGCTGGTTTGGCCAGCCGAAATATAGTGCTCCGTCTTAAAATTTACTTATCTACGTTGTATCGGTCTTGCCTCTATATTTATATTTCATATTCGTTATTTTGGGCCGATCAGATCATCGCTGATCCAACGGACAAGAGTAGGAGTATCGTCCACGGTTGCCTGCTGAACATTTCACTCTTATTAAGCTGCGACTAAATTTCGAACTTGAATCAGACTCGAATGGCCAAGTCTCTCTTATATTTTTTTAGAAATTAGTAAACGGTTTCACACTATTGATTTCACAAATACAGTTATCACAGCTTATAAAAACAAAAACGAACATAGTAAAAATCGAATTTTTAAGAGTTCGAGCTAATTATCTGACATTAATCGTTCACTCTCCATCAAACCTGCCCACGTTTTATCGAGACGTGACGAAAATATGGAGAGAGTTTCTTGGCGAAAATTTCGTAAAGAAGCTTTTCAATTAATACCGAGATTTCTGTTATATATCTCAACAGGTAACTATTTGGTTAAGACTTTACAGCCCGACACAGACTCCAGGCAAGGCAAAAAATTTATCACGCTGGGAACCTGGAACTGGGCCACACGCAGACTCCATATTCATAACATCACAAACATCACGTGGAACGGATGGAATCCCAGAGTGCCATTCTCACGCTGTAGTTCACCGTGTGAGCCTGGGCACTACAAAGTCCAGGGCGACTCCGAATGCTGCTGGAAGTGTGTTCAGTGCCCGTTTGGAAGCATAACGAACAGAACGGGACAATCCCAGTGCGACATCTGCCCGTTGGGTTTCACTTCTTCTGAACATCACACGAGATGCTTGCACCTCCCGGAAGTGCACTTAGAATGGGATTCTATAACCGGAAGTGTGATTTTAGCTCTCAGCGGCCTTGGGTTCTTGAGTACGGTTTTCACTCTTGGTGCGTTCTATCGGCATCGGAACAGCGCGATCGTAAAAGCTTCGACAAGAGAATACTCCCTGTTGATTTTACTGATGATAGCAGGAATGTTTCTTCTTCCTATCCTTCATTTAGGCCGAGCTAACGACCTCATTTGCAAAGCACGCCCGTTCTGCTTTGCATACGTTATCACTTTCTGGGCCTCGCTGATGTTGACCAAAACCCGGCGTTTGTTGCTGATATTCAAAAACAAAATGCTTCCTGGTAAAGTCGGTTATGGTATTCGCTTGCAGCTTCTGATTGCCGTTCTCCTAACTTTGCCAATAATGTTAGGTATTATACCGTGGGTGTGGATATTTCCGCCGGAAGTTACCGTGTACTATTATGATACGCGCATCTGTGTTGACTGCGGCGAAAAGGCGCACAACTTGCTCATGATCATATTGGGTTACACCGCTGTACTGGCCATACCGTCCACGTATCTGGCCTACAGGGCTCGTAATCTGCCGGCGAATTTTAATGAAACAAGACTTATAGGATTTTCAATGTTCACTGTATGTGTGATATGGATAGTCTTTGTACCCTGTTACTTCGACAGTGCTATTGAAAACAGAAATGTTGTGTTTTGCGTTGCACTCATTTCCACAGGTTTCACGATTCTCTTTTGCACGTTTTCCATCCGGTTGCGGATCATTTTCTTCCAACCCGAGAAAAACAAAACCGAATTGGTAAGGGCCAGTATGTTTGACTACACACTGCGCGCACGCAGTGGATCGTCCGCTGCCCGGAATCTTCGCCGAATGTCAGTAGTGACCGTGGGCACATTTTCTATTCCAACAAAGGTTCATTAAAACTGTTAGGGCAGTTAATGAATTAACCCTTTAACTCCCAAGATCTTATTGTTAATTATCCCCTCCGGCTGCTACACAATTCCTTGTAAACTGGTTACCAGAACAGAGTTTAATAACGAATTGTTACGTCAAAGGTATGTGGTCGAGAACGCGGGCTCAAGCGTGCGAGGTTTAAAATTTAGCGAAATTTGCGAAAAAATAAGGAGCTGGCATTCAAAACCGAGGTCGTCGGAAACATTTTCCTATTTCCAAAGTTTTTTTTAGGAGAAAATTAATTTTCGAAAATATTTAGGGGGTGTACAAAGTTCTTGGAAGTTGTTCTGTAAAAAAAGAAAAAAAAACCGGCAAGGAAAACAACGCCTCGAAGCAACAGAATAGAAAATCAACCATGCAAACGACTGAAAATCCGTTTTTCTTCGCCATAATTCAGCGTGTGCACATACGTTATTCAGCTCTGTCAGTTACTAGAATTTCATCTTATATCAAGATAACATGACCTGTTATGACCCGTTTTCTGAGTAATGCATGGATATTATGGAGAGAAGTTACATGTTGCTCACTTTCGGGAGTTAAAGGTTGAGCAAGGTGGATTTTTCCCTCAGAAAACGTGTTTCACCACTTAACAAATGGTAAACACCACAGCGTACACTATTGAGTTATGGATGCACGCGGGAGGTTGCTAAGCACGAAAGAAGCGTAAGAGTCGCTCGAGGCGATAGCCGAGAGCGACTCTAGCTTCTTGAGTGCCTAGCAAACCTCCCAAGTGCATCCATAACTCAATAGTGTACGCTGTGGTGTTTACCATTTGTTTTATAACATAACATTGATACATTGTAGCTTAAGAGTTCCCTTTTATTTAACAAATCTTACGCGACCAGAAAAAACAAGCGCGCGCGGAAAAATAGTCTTTGCATTTGCTCACGTCAGCAGCGTACACCCATGGGCAAATGGGGGACGCTAAATTGACCAATCAGAGCGCGCGCTTTACTTTGGTTATGTTATAATATTAAATGAGTTTTGATACAAGGTTTGATTGCACTAAGTCAGGANATAGCCGAGAGCGACTCTAGCTTCTTGAGTGCTTAGCAAACCTCCCAAGTGCATCCATAACTCAATAGTGTACGCTGTGGTGTTTACCATTTGTTTTATAACATAACATTGATACATTGTAGCTAAAGAGTTCCCTTTTATTTAACAAATCTTACGCGACCAGAAAAAACAAGCGCGCGCGGAAAAATAGTCTTTGCATTTGCTCACGTCAGCAGCGTACACCCATGGGCAAATGGGGGACGCTAAATTGACCAATCAGAGCGCGGGCTTTACTTTGGTTATGTTATAATACAGATTCTCCATCAGGGCACTTTTCTCGGCATGCCACCTTCTGTAGTCTACATATATTAACATGGTCAATTCACATTATCCGTAATCTTTTATATTTAAGACATTTTCAGTATATTGATTTCCCTATTGTATGAGAAGTTTGACACGGGCAAGAAACATTTTTATACCGTGCAACAAGTTTCTGGAATTCTCTCCCACATGAAGTAAGAAAATGTGTCAATTTTTCAACCTTTAAGAGATATTTAAAGGAATTTCTCGGTAGTTTTTTTTAGGATTGAGACATATTTTTAAGTTCATGAGTTTTGATTTAGTATTGATTGTAATTAGTTTTTAAAACCCATTTAGTGAGAAAACTAAAAAAGAGGACCAAAACATTTCCAACTGAGGGGAATAAACTGAATAAAGTCGAAACGTGTTTGGTAAGCTGAGAAATTTTGTTATAATGTTTAGATCGTCACAACTCATTACTGCTGCATTTCAATGTGTATGAAAACTAAATGGGATTGTATGAAAGCTCCGTGAGAAGACAAGTTTATTCATAACAGTTATGTATAACAGTTACATGCCATAGAACGCACTTTCTACGGGTTTACCAGGGCAATAACCCACGCAGGATGTAGGAAGACACGAGAAAAGTTTGTAAATAATGATCACAAGCCGGAGAATTGGAATTTACAAATCTTTTTTTTTTTTAATGGGTTTACCAGTGCAATAAACAATAGGCTTTTGACCAATCAGAGACCTCGCACTATCTCAGTTATTTTATAGAATTAAATATAATAATTTAAGAGACATTCAAGAGAAGTTTGTCAAAAATGAGAAGCAAGCTGCCAAACCATTTTATATTCTAATGTAATTTGGGTAAGAAAATGTAAAAACCTAAAATAAGTAAGATTAATTTTTTACCCTTTAAAAACCATAAAACGGCTCTTAATCCTGCAATAAGATAGGAATGAAACTGTTTCACGCCGCGCCACCCCCCCGTCCCTTTCTTCGCTCCTACCAGGACACGCACACCCAAAAAACTCATTCCACAATTCCTCCTTCTATCCGAAACTTGCTGATACAACGAAAAAGAAATTCAGACGCTTGATTTCCTCTCTTCAGGTAACTCCTTTATGGTCGCAATAATTGACCCTTGAGAGCGCCTCGGTCCCAGGTATTGTTTTACTACTGGTAATTTGTTTGTCGATCCGTTCATAAACTGAAACGCTAGACACGCTGGCGAGGTGTTCCTTCTAAAGGTCGTGCCCTGAATCGGCGACAGATCAATCCCAGAAGCCTGATCGATGGAGTAACGCCTAGTGCTCTCTATCGCAGCTTGTTTCGTGTTCTTCTCCGGTCGAAAAAAAATAACACGAACTTTGGGTAGAAACAGCAGGAAAAGCATTGAATATGCTCCCAAAATTAGCGCTATTATTGTACAGACGTCGCTTTCCCTTCCATGAATCAGCGCGTGACGGCAAATCAAAATAGCGGTCCACGACAAAAAGGTTGTAAACATGCTGAGGCAGATCCATTTGAATTCGTTATAAGCTCTGGGCAGATTACGCGATTTGTGAGCTAAATACGAGCAAATTGTCGCAAGAAATGTGTCATAACCTAACGAAGCCAAATCAATGGCCAAATTGTGGTCACATGACAAAACTAAAGCGTCTGCGACGCTGTAATCGTACGTAACTCTTGGCGGGAAAACCAGAAGGTGGAACACGCTCAAACCAATCTGCACGAGAATCAGTGCGCATGTCAAGAAACCGTACCAGCAGTTGCTAAGAAAACAATGCTGCTTGAGAGCCGAAAAAATCTTAATCAAACGGTTCGTCTTGGTCAATAGAACAGCAGTGATAGTGGTGTACAAAACTGCAAAAGAAACGGTTCTCGCTTTGCAAATAACGTCAGATGGCTTCCCAATGTACAAAACAGGGTTCAGGAACCAAAGAATAAGCACCATTAAGGACAAGACTGTAAAAGTTAAATTCGTTGCCTTGACAACAGGGGTGTCCTGATATCTCACTAGAACTCCCAGCACGAACAGTGTAAGAATCTCTCCCAGTCCACACGCGGACAGTAGAAAAACTATCAGTATTTCTCCGAAGTTTAATACTGAGAATGGTTTGTCTACACAGCAACTCTGAAGCTCATTTGCCATTTGGTGCTTCGGGCAAACTTTACAAAGGGTCGCGGTGTGGTTATCATTAAAGGTCCCCTCAGGACACATGTGGCAGTTCCACCGACATTTCTCCAAACCATATTCGGTATAAGTGCCTAGTGGACAGCGCTCACGGCATCCAGAATAAGGGATTCTGTATTCGTTACCAGGCCAACGAATGTCAGTCTCATTCATTACCAGTCTCTGCTCCCTGGTCCATTTTCCTACTTGGGTGGTCGTTAAGGTTTGATTGCAGATGGCTTGCACATTCATGACAACAAATTCTTTATTCAACTCTCGGTTAGAGACAAAGGATATACTGATATTTTGATTATTTCTAAACTTATTATTTTCTAGGTTCTTCAAAACAAGTTGCCGCGCATACTGCAGAGTAAAATTTCCCCGCAAGCAGTCAAAACTGCTCTGCTCGCTATTTGTAGTACACTGGGTAACTTTCTTCACTGACTGCGTAACCGCGAGAACTGCTTTCATGACGTAAGCACTTTTGCCCAATGACACTCCCTGCAAGCCGATGGATTGCTCACTGCTACGATTACCACAGACAGCGGACCAGCGGCTATCTTTTTCGAGCCAAGTGCAATACATTTCTGATACATTTTTCACCAATATGCTGACAACATCTTTAAATCCGCCCAAGCCTTCTTGGGGCACAGACACGGTGAGCATCCCGTCCATTACGTCATAGTAGCCTTCCACCAATCGGGATCGCTCGTCTAACGTGTCAGTTATAATCCACACTCTTTTTGTCAAATTGTTTGCCCGTGCTTCGTGGAAAATCTTCGAAATAAAATCCTCGCTCCCCAAAACTACGTTTACAGAAATACTTCTGCGATCTTTGATTGCCATCACGATACGCGAAAATTCACCATTACCGACTGCTTCATGAAAGGGAACGCAGATGTCGCGTTTTTTAAGGTCCCGTTTCAGGTTTCCCATTATTCTGCGATGGAAACTTTCTCTTGAACTTATGATATTTACACAAGACCATCCGAAATAAGTTATAAGACTCGTCAACACTGCTGCAACTTGTTTATCAGAAGGACGCGTGTGGAAAAACGTTCTGAAAATTGACTTGTCGTTGAGAAGTGAGCTGGAAACTCCATAGCTGATCTGCGAAGATAATAATAAAAAACAAGTCGATTTAAAATTTTAACAGTGCGTGATTATTTCTCTTAAATTTACCTCTCATAAGCTCCGTGGCAAGGTAAAGCAAGAAGTACAGGAGGAAGTTCAACTCTAGTGTAACTAAAATCTGCAAGCTTTAATCGTTTTGGGTGATCTTCAAACTGTAGTAGCACTTAATTAAGTCTTAAGAGTGGATCATAGGTATTTATCTTCTCAGATAAATATAAATCAGCTTGTGAAGCGGCTACAGCTGTCAGGTGCTACTACCAACTGAAGGACGAAGCGACATATTGAGAGCAAGTAAGATCTTAATGAGCTACATGTAATTTTATCCCCGTGAAGATATATACTCCAGGAACTACGTAAATTAAACAAGTTTACTTCATGCAGCGTATTGAAATTTGAAAGAGTAAACTAACTACTTGAGAATAGCCTTCAATTGTGAACAAAACTCGACAACAGAAGCCGTCATCTTGAATCTGGCCTGGCAACCTGGCCACTTACCTGTGACGTTACCCAATTTTGCTTCTCTTTTCAAATTCTCTGCAATTTTTTTTTAACAATAACATGCTACGTAGAAAGGCATTCTTAACTTAGAAGATAACTTTTTACACTGTATGGAGCAGTAATTTGTCTCAATCATTTTTGGAATGTGCAACGTGTTTGAGAACAAGTTACTGCGTTCCAAACAGCGGCTTCTGTAGTCGAATTCTTAAAACACTGAAAGCCAATTTTTTAACGATTCGGTTTCTCTTTGGACTCTAATAACGCTGCAGACAACCTCATTCCAAGGGTTCTTCCCTCTTGTAGGGAAAAGCGCCCTGGGAATGAGGTTACGCTGTAGGTTTCACTCCGCCCACCAAGTTTCGGTGGGAATAAGATCGAAATGCACAATGGGAAGATTTGATGGACGGCTTTCCCGTATCGTGATTGGGTTCCCTTTCAACGGTGTTCAAAAACACAAAACTATCATCTCGACCTGAAATCTTGCGTTTGAACCCTCCACCCGATTTAAAGCCTACTGTAGGAGTCATTTTCCACAGCATTCCTAAAAGGAAGAACACAAAAATATTTCATGTTTTTCAACCAAGAGCGACAATAATCACCCACTGAGTATCTTTAGCGGAGTAGATGACCAGCATGCGTAGCAGAACACAAACAGCAGAACACAAACTAAGGACAAAAAGTTGTTTATATCAGACAACGACTGAAGAAAAAAATAAATCATGGACAGGAAGACATCCGTGCGTTAATATATACATGGCTCTTGTCAAAGAAAACTCCCTAAGTCAAATGCTAGTTTTGGAATTCACGGCACACGTGGCACTTGCAAATACAGCCATCTGATGTCTAAAATTGACAAAGCTGTGTTGACTTAATCATTCCAAAGTTGGAAACCCCTTTCTCCCGCTAAAATAATTTAATTGAAATTACCTTGAAAACTTCTACAAAAATGCTCAAAGCAAAGACAACAATTAGAAACATTGATTTTTAACTCGTTCACATGTTTTAATAACTTATGCCCGAACTCCACGGACTTTTTTTGAGTCTGGCTCATTTCCCGAACATCGCCTGCTCTCATATCGAACTTATCGACTTAAACTTCCAGCACTATTCGTTGATTGCAAAATCCTACATAGAAATAGTTTGCTGATCAAAACAATTACATTCAACATTATACCAGAATATCAATTTTCAACTCAGCAGCTCAAAGTTCTTCGTCCAACGCTATGGGGAATAAAAATGAGGGAAAGTTTTTCTGGAATTCGTGTGAACAATGTCTCCTTTGAGAGTCGAAAGAAATTATTTGAGACCTTTTTTTTATTTTTTTTTTGGGGGGGGGGGGGGGTTTCCAGAGCTTTCGAAACAAACTGGCAAGTTTTCAATTTCATAAATGCTCACTTCAAGTAGTAAATTTTCAAAGGTTTGGTCGGAAATGAAAATTAAAGCGCGTTCATTGGCTTTTTGAATGTTCACTAAAAGACAAGAAAATAAACTACTGTTTATAACATCTGATCGACTCTTTCTAGAAGCTTCTAATGACTTGTTTCCGTAATAAAGCAAGAACAGTGATTTGAAAACAGAAACACAGTGACGAAGCATTTTGATGAACTGTACAACTAATTTAAAATGAACTTAAAATGAAAAAAAAAAATAATAATAATTTCGTGACTAGACAAACCTATGGCCAAAGAGAAGCCGCCAGACGTCTGTGCAACCCTTAGGGTGGAGGGGAGGGGAGGATAAAACTTTTCTAAGACATTAATTTTCCACACACGTTTTCAGAACTTGCCGCTAAAATACGTCGCATATTTTCACCTGCTCAAGCTAAGCATTGGTACAGATCGCTCAAAAATTCAGCTGGAATGAAATATTTTTTTATTTTGTCTCCTTTAATTCATTTGGAGTTCAAAAGATAAAGACTTTTATAAACACTCTTGAAAACTATACCTATTCGAAGCCATTATGGCCGAAGTATATACACGAAACCAAAACTACGCCCGTTGAAGCGGCACATACACCTCTGGAATTCATGGGACTGAATTTAAGTGAGCATTTTATAAAAACAATGCCTGTTTAGCGAACTAGAAGTAACTCTTTCCGGCCTTTTCTTCTGAGTCTCAATGGTGTTTGCATCAAACCAGCAGGGTTCTTCAAAGTGCTCAATTAGAGACATCAGTTCTTGAGGGTTTGGTCGAAGATAAAGAGCAGTAAACGCTACGATGTTTATAGGATTTGATGAACCCTTGAAATCTCGCTGAAAGAAGCCATAACAAATAAACTGCTTTCATAACATCCGACTCATTATGTCTGGAAGCTGCTGACAACTTGTTTCCGCAATAAAAAAAGAACATATGTTTTGATGGCTTTTGTAGCCATAATAAAAAGCATTTTGATGAACTGCATGACTGAATTAGAATGATCTTGAAGGAAAAACGCTTGCGATTAATAAACAGATCTTCATCTTTTCTGGTTTGTAACATGAGTAATCTACAGTCAAAGAGAAGCCGTTACTTGACTAAAAAATCCCGGTGGGTAGGAGGGTGGGGTTACGACTCCTTAGGATTCTTTGCAGGGATGTGCCTCCCGGATCTTAAAATCCTGACCCTATTTCTGCCCAAACATGCCATTTCCCACACACGTTCTCAGATCTGGCTTAAAAGTCATTGCTGTTTTTTAACCTGTTCAAGTCAAAAATTGATAGAAATCCCTATCAAAATTCAGCTCGAGTGATACATTTTGGTTACACCTGTCTCTCTACCATTTATTTAGAATACGTGTATATGCTATTGTGGTTCCCTTGTTTAAAGAAAAAAAACACTGACACAAGATTTCAGACCATAACTCCCCTGTTCCATACCAAATTTTGTACAGACCAGACCCTTTTGAGACAGCACATAAATTGCACGTCTGACATTGGGGACTACCCCCCAACCCCCGTCTTTCCCCCACCCCAATCCCGTTATGTCCAGGCTTTTTACGAGCAAAGCTTTGGACTTCCTATGTGGTTTCGCTTTACTTAAAAACGGAAACCAACGGACTAAAGCAAACCGTAGAGAGATAAAAGCCAAGCGACCGGATTCTATGGCGCCACAAACTCAGACAGTTGAAGAGATCTCGCTTCTATGTTCAATCTATTTTGAATTGTTCTCACTAATGCGATGAGTAATTATCGTATTGCGCAAGGAAACCCTCGCTTCGAAAACTGAACGGTGTATTCTAGGCTTTAGAGCTGGTACTTGCGAGAGATAAGTCGTAATAGCTGAACAAACCATTCATACTTTAAAAAAAAAATAAAATAAACGGCGAAATTGGAAAATTACGAAAACAAATACATATTTCGATTAAGAGTTAAAACCGGGCAGGGCTCCTACTCCAACTATCGATTGAGTTAACGCTAAAGTTTATCAGTGGAGCGCTTTGAATCTTAGTCTTTCTCCGAGACAAACTAGGTGTGTTGCACAGCCTTAGCCCTGGCTGTGTTACAATGCGTAAGAGTTCTAGAACGATAGATGTTATGTGTTCAACAGCAGCATGGGACAAAAAAAAATCTTTTCGCGCGCCTTCCCCCACCCCAGCCTCCCCTCACCGAGAAAGTTGGAGCGTTACAGTATTACATAACATTCTCTATTGCCGGTCGAAGAAAATTTCACTGAATCACTGATGTCGTTGTCCATAATGTTCGCTTAAAAAAGATATTCTGTATCAAGGCTAAAAGATTAGGAAAAAAAAATTATTAAGATGTTTAAACCAAACGTTTTCGGCTGTTTGCCATCATCAGGGTTTACAAACAATCAATCATCAGGGTTGGCAAACAGCCGAAAACGTTTGGTTTAAACATTTTAATATTTTTTTTTCCTAATCTTTGAGCCTTGTATATAGAATATACTGATGTCGTTGTTGTCCAATTTTTACCGCTGTTCAATATTCGCCCTGGGTGAGAGTATTTTTAAACCGTTGAAAAAAGAAAGTGTCCTCGTAACTTCGCCATACAGAAGAGATGATGACATATTTCTTAATAATTTTCTAGTGAATTCATTTATAGCAGCCTTTTATCCACCTTACATGCGTCTGCAAAGAATAATTCTTTTAAGAGGATAAATCCCACTTAAATATAGCTAAAAATCTTCTCGTGCGTAGCTTTGTGCACTTGGTTGAATCATGCAACTTTTTCCCTACCCTCACACTCGAAAAAGATATTTCAATGCTTCAATCCACGAAAATAAAAAGACCAAAGGCGGAATCACGCATTCCAACTCGACGGGGGATATCGCATATCCCTTGAGAGCACTTTAAAAGTTCCCAAATGATGTTTTTGTTTTTATCGGCAGTTCTATTTAAGATCTGGTGCCTATTTGAAAGAACCCACTACATTAAAAGAAAAGTGCTAATTTGCAAAAACGTTCTCCATCCAACATAGATTTCTGTCAATGTTGAGTCGTGATTCCTCGTTGGCTTGTAAAAAAAAATAGGAGCATTTTAGATAAGCCCTTGAAAGAAATCTCCCCAACCATTTTCACATCACAATAACTACATTGAAGTGGTCTCCCCGCTGCTTTCAAAAAGATGCAATTGTCAACTACTTCAACACCATTTAGCAGCAGCGAAAAAACGCATTTAAAATTTGAGGATTAAAGTGGATTCAAACAAAAGAAACATCAAACAAATTTAAAATTTTTAACCAAAACTGACACACAACGTTTCACAAAAATGCGCAGAACGAACACGAAGATGAAATGTACACGACTTTACAATCGCGACTCCTTGAAGATGGAATAATATTCTTAAAATATATTTAACAGTCTTGTGTTCATGACAAAAAAAAGAAATATATAAATACAAATATATAAGAATAACGGCAGCGAGGCGTCTCCACGGGAAATTTTTCACATCCTTCAGTTTAGGATCGTTTCGGGAAGCGGTTAATGAACTCAAGGCGGAAAAAGCGTGTCACCATTGATTTTGTTGTTAACAGACAATGTGGACAGCATAACTTGATAACAGAAAAAATCATAATCTTTTGGAAAATGTCGACACGATACCCGGTAATTTATCAAACTCGGGGACATGGTGTCTGTTTATCAAGACTACCTGTCAGTTTCATTGTGAATTCCGCAAAAAGCGGACAAACAAATGTTTGAATAAAGAATTTTCGGCACCACATTTAAATCTGTGTCAAAGAAAACTGTATTTTGATTAAAGAACGCGATGGCGTTAATTGGCTATGCATTTACGAGATAGTAAAACATGTTAATAAGAGTAAACCGATAAGATCAATTTAGTACAAATAATCGCTAAATTAATGCATCCGTCTTCATATAGAACAAAAACATTACCTAAAAAATGCGAATAATTCTTCTCACGTACGAAAAGTGGAGATACGTTTGCAGCGTAAAAACAAAGTTGCCGCCGATCTTAGAAACATAAAGGAATTTTTCGTTGCCTTATTTGCAGGACAAAAAGTGGGACGTTTTCATTCGATTGAAAGATTAAACGAGTTTTTTCGAGCTACCTCCAAATCTACTAAATCGAAAAAAAAAGAAAAACGCCAACAAGTGGATTGCGAAATCATTCTGAGTTTACGCAGGAGTTGTCTGAACAAAAATCTCCAAAGCAACCTATGAATGTGCTTGTATTGTGAAAATTCATCTATAACGTCCAAAAATTATATATTAAGTCTACATTCTCAGAAGGCTATCTGTAGAAACTACCATAGGATGAAAACAAAAATTTCATAAGCACAGAAATTTCATCAAAAACTGATTCTATGATAATCTGAAATATACGCCGGAAGACTTTTCGCGTATGTCATACAATCCAAGACAAAAAAAAACAGAAGTTTTCACTTTATTTCCTCTTTTTCCAGAGCTTGGTTTTCGTCAGATGAACGCAATTTAAGGCAACATTTTGTACAATGTTATCTGATGAAGGATTACAAAACTAACCTGAGGTTTGGATGCTCTGCCCTCGAGCGAAAGATCACATAACGCGGACCTATTTCCATAAATGCTCTACTTTTTATTTTCTCCTTGTAGAGAAGTCATCATTGTCTAAAGATATTCCTATACAATTTAAATTTATCGGCAAATGAAAACGTGCCGACCTCCACAGATGCTCCCTATGGCTAAAAATGTGATTCGGGATGGGTTTTCATTTGAAAAGTTGATTTTACACTTCGCTTTTTTAAAACGAAGAAAGTTTAGAATCGAGCCAGAGGCAAGTTGACATATCAATCTGAAAGGAAAATGTCACGTACGGGAAAGTTTTCTTACCTGAGGTACCCCATAAGCGCTCAGTATGCCACTCGTAACAACAGCGTTGCCAGACAAATCTGGGCCCACGAATGCGAGCACTCCACATTGTTTGCTTGCATTTTTCATTGAACAGTTTACAAATGATTGTTCGTCATTTTCATTTCTCAAAAAATCTTGAACCTCTTTCACAGACACCACGGGGCTCGAACAACTGTCTCTGATATCATATCCGAGAACTGCATCGCTGTAAAGCGAATCATTGTTTATGGTATAGACAAACGCTTCGGCGAGCATTAATCCTTCGCTCCGCACTTTCGTGCACTCTGGGCCTTCGGTTATGGGAAAAAGCCCTCCGACGATGAATTTCCCTTCTTTGAATCTTCTCCAACGACCAGCTGCAGAATGAGCTTGTAAACAAAACACTACCACAACAAGCGCCAGTGAAACCCCCATGTTGACTAAGAAAGTCCCGCAAGAACGAGGCAGGAACTAGATACGTGTAAGATGCACTTTGCTACCTCTTCTAAATATTTAAATGAATCCGTATTTAAATTGCCAAAACAAGTCGTCCCCCGTGCGTGGAAATTACCCACACCTTGAAGGTTTTCCAAATTTTCCTCAAAAGCGAAGAAAATTTTTCTCTTAGGCAATCAAATAAACTCTTTCTCAAGGAATTTCGATTTTAAATTACGGAAATGTAAAATTGTTCTCGCAAAAGTTGAAATCCACCCAGCTAAAGATGCTTTGATAATGTCACGAACTCTGTACGGCCGAGCAGAAAATTCTTGGCGAAAATCCCAACACTCTACAAAATGAAAGGATTCCGTCGATTTTCAGTCGGTCTTTGTGCCGTTGATGTCGGAAGAATGCTTCATAATTTCCGAGTAGCTTGCAGAATGGTTTATCATTCCGCGCTGTCATACACACAAATCAATTTTGACAACACTTCAAGTCGATGGTAAATAAACGATTCAGCCAACCACTAGAGAAAGCCCATTAAGGGCCATAAAATAACTAACTGGAAGGTGGAGCGTGTTTACAAATGGCACTCGTTCTAGTCAGGGAATAAAAAGACAAAAAAACAGCTGCAAACCTCTTACGGCAATGCAAAAAGGGTACCGCGAACACGAATGAAATGAAACGAAATATTCGTGTTAATTCCATGTCTGTGATACTGCATGCAAGGCGCAGAGAATTAAAGAATTCGGGAAAAAAAGTCGCTGCAAACTTAAGTGGTTTTCCGAAGATTGGTTCTAATAATTTACAGATCTTTCGCGCAAAGCCGCTCTGTGTAAGCGCTTGAGTAGTCGAATTGCGCGCAGTCTGGCTGTACTGAAGCGATTTAGACTAAAGTATAGACGCTTTAAGATCACTGTTGCCGATATTAAAACTGATTTGAATAGAACAGAATTGAAGCTTGGACAACCCCCTCGGCTCTGACTTTGAAATAAGAAAAAAAAAAAAAGAAAAGGAAGGAAAAAATAGCACGTCGCGTTTAAAAATAACTAGAATTCCTTGTGCTCTAGTTATATTTATACAAAAATAGACGGTGTCCTTACGAAATCTTTCAATTAATTTCATTTTAAATGAGGGAAAAGCCGCATAGCCGAAATTATTTTGTAACGAATATGATAAGCCGAAATATGAACCGAAAAAGACATATTTTTCATCAAACATGCGATGAGAACGACCTTAATAATTCAGACAGCAAAAGAAAGCCATTCTATTTTTAAGTAAAAGTTGCGGAAATTTCCAAGGATCGAGAAACCGAATACCCCTTTAACCTGAAAATTTTGGAAGGATTGATAAACGCGTTCTTAGCAAATACAGTAGATAACTCAAGACAGACAAACAATATTGAAAATGTTCGTAAGATTCACGAGACTTGAAAATTCAACGCAGCTGGAGAGTTCCATGTTTCTCAAACGTTCGTGACATGACGCCAAGAGCAGTATATATATACATATATATATATATATATACATATATATATATATATATGCAGTTATATATATATATATATAACAAAAAAAATGCAAGCAAGCAAAGTATTTTTACAATTATAAAGAAGCTACCATAACACGTCAATTACAAGTATTCATATTGAAACAGCCTATAAACTAGGAAAGATACGGAGGAAAGGAGAGCAGAGCTTTGAAACTCGAGCACGAGTGTAAAACAGATATTCAATGGCAGAACATCAAAATTGCAGAGCAAACCCAACATATTTGTATGTCTTATTCTACTTTTAAAGTCAGACAGGTGATTTTGCCTAATTTGATTCGTTCAAAGTTTTGGTTTGATGTTTCAATCAGGTTTTTCCTTTGCGTGAATACAATAAAAGGCGAACTTGGGAAATAACAGCTTCAGGAAATCGTAATTTGATGAATTACGACAGAAAATCTCCTGGAATATAACTCTTTCAGAGGCGGCTCTTTTAACTAAAATTGTTTTCTCATTCAATTTCTTTTACTGATCACGAAAAATAGCAACATTAGTTTGCAAATCTTGTCGAGAACATGATTCAAATCACCTAAAAGTTTACTTTAATTTCCGATATCTCGGACTAATAGATCTGAAAACACTCATAAAAAGGCGCATTGAAAATAGTAATCGTTCATGATGACTTTATCATTTATATTACAAATTTTATTGATGGCCACCTCTTAGAAGTATCTAGTATCAATGGTGAGAATGTTTCTCCATAATTATTTTTCAAGTCGATGACACGCAAGCTGTAAACTTACAACCATACACCGAACACTAATGCAAACATAATGATCACGATTTTTTATTCTAATGATATCATTATCATTACGAAATGATATTTCAATATTACAAGCGAACAAAAATACTTCAATCTATTCTTAAACACATTTCAGCGTTAGCTAAAGCTTCTTCTTTTTGGTAGATATAAATAAGACAGCAGAGTTAATGTTCGCAAGCATAAATATGTTTTGGGCCCAACTTAGAGTTATCTTAACCCGAGCCGGCAGGCGAAGGTTAAAATGACTTTGAGAAGGGCCTAAAACAGTTTTATGCCTGAGAACATAAACCCTATTAGCACTTTGGAGGTCATTGAAAAACTAGAAATCGAAAAGACGACAACAAAACAGTCTGCACAGTCACGCGTGTGTGCGAGCGTGCTAAAGTACAATTTAGTCCGCCAAAATCTTCATTTTTAGCCCGCAATATGCGCTACAATGCCTTACAAATAGATAGTAATGTTTATTTTCATGAAATGGCACTTAGTTCGCAAAATAAGTCAGATAAACTTAAGATTAAGATTCTCAAATGTTAAACTTTTAGAACATATTTATTGGAGTGACTCTCTGGACCTGATTGTTTGTCGTTGCGCAAGTTCTCGAGAAAAGGCGCCTTAAACTGATCCCAGAATTAAACAATCTCTCAGTAAATTCTTAAAACAACATACGCGGAAGTAATTTATGATGCTCTTCTGTCACATATCGGCAAATTTTCGCCCACAAGTTTTTTCGACAATCATCGCTCATAACTCTGCAAATTCTCATGCAAAATAAACAGTATATGCTGGCGTAACATCCAATGTTCCTCCTTCACCAGTCGGCAAATCTTCGTCCGCGATTTTGTTACGACAATCGTCGCTTATAACTCCGAAAATTCTCGCAAAACAGAAAGCCAGAAAACTTTTCAATTTTTATCTATAAAGCGAAATTTCAGTTGCATGTCACAGATCATAAGTGATTACGATGATGTACTTCAACGTACTCAGTTGCAATCGCATGGCCAAGGATCCACCGAGTATATCCAGTCACATGCATAGTATCGTGCTTGTGATTAGTAATAGGCGCACCTTTCTCATTCAACAACGGCAACAGCATGTTTCTTTCTTTCCGCCACACGAGGCACGCTTCCTGGCTTACTATGAAGACGTCTGTTCTCCTCCCTTTAAAAGAAAGAAGATTGCATATCAATAAATAAAAACTCCATTCATAAAGGTTTGAAACAGGCTGTCAGAACCAAATTGTCTCGCAGGAGTTACAAACAACCACAAAAGCCAATATGTCTAGGTGTTTTAAAAGCGTTTAACTTTTTTGGCAAAGACACCGGTTCTTAAATAAGCTTTGTGTTCGAGTCCCGAGTTTTCCCCCCTTTTCCCTAATTTTGTTTCCTTTTACAGATTTTGATAAAAATTTCTCTTATTTTGCAAGACAGAGGCTTTTCTCTTTGTTTCCCTTTGAAATTTTGCGCGGGAAATTGACGCACGGCCGGCCAGAGTTGATCCCCTCGCGCATGCCTGACGTTTGACCGCTGTGCTGATGTAACACATCAAAATGACTTTAAACACGAAGGCGCGCTATATAAGGAAGTCTTCCCTGGGAAGACCCAGGCTCATTTGTCACTCACCGTGTGCGGGTCAAATTTAAATGCTGGTAGACGAACAAAAGGAGATAATGTGATATCTATTGTTTACTTTCACCAGCATGGTGGCATGAGGTAACGTGCGAACCACCTACTTCGATCTCAAATTTACCGCCACAAATAAAGACAGTTTCCATTGGAGAAAGGAAATACAAATCTCAAACATTTTTGTATTGTGATGAATACATAAAACAATTTTGAGGAATGTGCCCGCTGTTCACTGTTTTGGAGTAGCTGTAGCTCAAGCTGGCTTGACTCTAAGAGTTCTACATCACACGACAGTTCATTGACAAATAGTCCAGTGAGAGCTAAGGCTCCTTTTATAGCGCGCCTTCGTGTTTAATAGATACATACTTCCTCTTTACAGAAGCCATCATGATCTTCTTCTCCTTGGCTGCCTTAAATACCGCTTTGGGAACATGGCGATGTCTTAAATAAAACCAAGACAGACAAGTTGTTAATGAAAGGGAATCCTGCCGATATTTCAAGTAATAGAGGTGACAGTAGGGGTTAAAGCCTAAACCGCCAATAGGAGTTGAACTACATCTAAATTCTTCTTACAATGTCATCCTCGTATCACAGACTTAGGTGACAAGAATGTAGGAAATGATCACCAACTAAAGAAGCTCTTGATTGCTAATCACACATACTTTTTCGTATGTTTCAAATTTCGCCTACCTTTTAATTCTCTTCAGCTGAGGATGATGTTTAAACCTCTCCTTTAACTTTGCATTGTAATTGAAAGCTGCTTTTTCTCGAGGTGCAAGCTAGAATACAGGAGAAAATGCAGCTGGCTTAGCACGGAAAGAAAAACAACTGAACGTCAAAGGGAACGAAAATACTGAGCGAATAACTCGCTTTCTTACCGCTCCCAACTTCTGAGAAGAATTGGCTTTCCATATTCTATAAGGAAAGAAAAGTCTTGGTCAGTACCAATATTGATTGAGTTCACAAAAATCAAAGTAATCACACCGGCAAATACCAATAAAAACAAAGGTTAAAATCATCATTAACCAATGAGAACTCAAAAGAAAAACAGGCAGTCTGCTTAAAGCGCGGGAAAAGCTTTGCATCTGATTGGTTGAGATGATGGTGCGAGTTCTCTAGACTAATCACAGAGCGAAAAGATCGCTTTCGATATTCAGTTGAAAATAGCTCTAATTGATATATGAATATGTTAAACTAGACGCATATCTGCGTTCACACGGGCTTTCTGGTTGCTTTGTGTTTTTTTGTGCCTGGATTTGTCTATTCTGCTTGGTTCACGATCACGTGTACATACACCATGAACTTTGCGTTTCCTCTTCTCTCTATTAACATTAGATAGCTCAGTTGATATAGCATGTTTCTCGATGAAAGGTTCACTCTTAAATATTCGCCCAGAAAGAGATCTCTCTAAGGAACGAGGACCGATCCGCTCCGAAAACGGTCGACCTCTTTTAGTGTGGGTCCACCACGAACGCCGTGTTCATATTTTGTATACGTTTTGAGCTTATTATACGTGCTGATTTTGCACCGCAAAAACTTCTCAATTCTAACACGAGCGTTTCCTTTGGAAACCAATGAACTTGCAGGCTTCAACCGATCAGCTTGCGGGATGGGCATTATCTCCAAAAGTTTTGAAATATCACGCAACACTAAGGGAATGATGTCACAGGGGTCACACTGTCATGCCATATGAGGGGAATGACGTCATAATTCGCATTTGATTCACCTGATATTTGTCTCGTCACTTCCAGAAAGAACATAAGTGGAATCCCCGCTGAACCTCACACACGATACCCGCTGCATTCGGCTGGTATGGTACACCTCCCTGTTTGAGCAAATCAAAGCTCAGCCATTAGAGAGCTGATTATCGAGCATAGGCCCTTGGTCATTCGCTCTGGTGAGGGGTCAACGCCCTTTATTCTAGTGACCGAAAAATCTGCTAAATTGAAGACCTATCCAAAAATCGGATGTGCAAAATTAAGAAATCCCCGACCTCACAGGTATTCAGTGAGTAAAGCGAAGCGGATGAGTAAAAAAAAAAAAAGGAGGACACAGATTCTTACCTGCTTCGTCCAGAATCCCGCTCAAAAATCCTTATTGTCTTATCATAACTGCCGCTCACAAACTCTTGTCCTGTGGGCGAGTAATCTACGTCGAGGACGGCAGACACGTGATCCATGTGCACGTTAATTGGCTCTTTGAACCGGCGTATGTCGTACGTGTACAGATTTGAATCCTCATTGGCTGCGGTGAAGACAAACGCTTCGAGTGGGTTCCAGGCCACTGTGTTGCTTCTCATTTCCATGACAACCTTACGCAGTGGAGCGGAACCCCGCATGTCGTAAAGGATGATACTACGATCGGAGGCGGTGCTAGCGAGAAGGTGGGTCTGGGTACGAAATAAACGCGTGAGTTTTTAACCAATATTCTCGTTTACTTTTCTCTCTGAAGTCTTTGAGTCAGAGGAGGCGGGTGTCAGTTGTTTCAAGGTTTTTTTTTTCTGCCTTTTTGGCATTGAATACAAATCAGGAAAAACCACTGGGTGTCGAAAAACCAAAACCAAGGTAATCACAGCGACCAATCAAAACAAAGCTTTATTTTATCATTAGCCAATGAGAAGTCAAAGTGAAAACGAACGCGGGAAAACACGGACGACCAGCACGCAACTGTTTTCAGTCTTTGCATCTGATTGGTTGAGATGATGATACGAATTTTCTGAACCAACCACAGAGCAAAGTAAAACCAAAGGAATCCCGGGTTACTTATGTTAGCAACTCAAGATGCAGCGCTCAATCAAGGCACACTTAAAATTCGAACTAATTATGATTCGAGTTGAGCGTGATGGGGAGGGATGTGTCCAGGTTTTTTTTTCTGAATTTAATCCAGGTACAAAGGTACAAAGGCTTAAGTTTATAACATATTGATTATGTGTGACACTTTAAAGGAAATTGTGAAATTTATCAAAGTTATTCTTGTAACAAATCGAGTTAAAATACAAAGTCAAACCTCAATGGGGTTGAACTTAATGCTATGAATGGTGTCCACGCCCCAATTGAAGCTCCGAATAGGATCAGCCCTGTTCTCATTCCAAATGTCAACTTGCTCTCCACATGTCGCAAAGTCATCGCTATTCCAGTTGTGATCAATACCATGGTAGAGATTCTATACAAGAGATGCTACGATGTCAATAACAAGAATCAAAGTGGCTATGAGCCGTTGAACTCCGAAAATTAACTATGACGGCTGAGATGTTGAGTCCCTTGAACTGACTTTGTACTTAAAACTTTTGGCTAAGACAAGTGGCGTTTTATCCGTATGGTCTACTAGCTGAAAGAAAATTCCCATTATCACATACACTATACCCTCTGCAAACTTGCCGCAATGGATAGAGCTTCTTCGCTCAAGTCGAAAGTCTTGGAATCTATCTCTGTCTATGGCAAGTTTTCAGATTTTTCTTTATTTTTTCTCTTTTTTGTTTGAACAGAAAGTTGTACAAAGCTATAGTCGATGTCCCTTTCAAATTGTAAGCTGTCAAAAAACATTTTGTCTACCGCGTTCCAATGAGTGTTTGAAGGATAACACACCCAATAACCTCCATTTGGCTGAAAATATGCTAAATTATTTACACTGCTAAAGTTCACAGTTTCCTCAAGCCTTCCCCTCAGGAAAATATTCACTTCTGGGAACAGATTATGTCTGCAGATAAATATCCAAAAATTCTTGTACCCTTCTTTGAAAACCATTCCTAAGATACTAGACGATTTATGTTATTCAGGTACTTGTCTTGCCCCGCCACAATTAGCTTTCGGGGCAAACTATCCCACTGTTATTTTATGTAAGAAGATCAAAGAATAAACATTGTTGTCGTTGTTGTTGTTGTTGTTACCTTTTGACCCCAAAGAGTGACTAATATCTAATTTCTCTCCACAACATAACCCCTGAATCAAGCATTCAGGTCAGGAGAATAAAGAAAATGATCACCAACTAAACAAGCCCTTGTTCATCAAACAAAATTTCCTTGTAGGCACCTTAGCAAATGTCTAGAGAACAGTATGGAGAATATGCACACTGATATTAGGGTGTAGGAAGCCTTTGTTTGTATATTTTGGGTAAAAAAAAAAACATTCAGTTTTTGGTCATTCTCCAACAGAACCTTCAGAACTTTTTTTGAAACATTTCTCTACATAATACCTTGCCAATGATGGTGTTGAGTGGAGTCTGTGAACTCTCTAAGCTGATATCAAAACTTTGTTCCATGCTCCACTGTTTTATAACTTTGTCATCCCCTACCTGTTGTATGGGTAAAAAAAGGTTACTTTAGGGGTTTTTTTTATAATTAGCTACCTGACCCTAAACAGTTTTTGTGGTAGATAGGTGTATTGTGTGATAGAATGCTAGTTCATTACAGGTGAATTACAAAATGTCACAAACTGACCACACACTTCACTTGTAACCAATTATAACACTGGTTAGAGAGAGGCACGGTGAGAAAAAAAAGTGTCCTACCCTAAAACACAACACTGTGACTCAGACAGAGCTCAAATCCAGGGGTTACTTATCATTTACACAAACAAACAACCAAACGAGAAAGCACCTGACAATTCTGCATGGAAAATTAGTTGATTCATGCCATTCTTTTGGGAGTCATTCAAAAAATTATTCTAAAGACATTGGTTCAAGAAATACTCTTCTTTCCGTGTTTTTATAACCTCTTTCCCTCTTCTGTAAAGCCCAGTTCAGCCATAGAATGTTTATGTCAATGGTAAGTACCACAGTGCTCTCTTTTCAGAGTTGAGCATGCTAAGGGTAGGCCTCAAGCTACCCTAACAAAAAAAACTGTAAAACTAAGTACAGGTATAACACTTACTGAGAAAAAAGTGTCTCCAGAAGGAGAGGTACACAAGCCACGCACAAAACCAGTGTGTGCTGTTAACGTCTTCAGGCACTCTCGTCGCGGCAAACTCCACAAGCGAATCTAGAATGTCACAAGTATCACACATCAATCAATGTTCTATGAAATAAAAATTGAAAATTAACACCCAATGATTGGAAAAGTTTATACAAATGTATGGTCAAATTAACCCTTTACAGGGCTCAACACTTACCGTAGCCCACTTGCAACAGACTAGTAGAAATTTAATTTTGGCTGGTGGTTTTTTATTTCCACTAGCAAGTTTGGTTAGTAAATAAACTGAAATTGTCGTAAGGTCTAAGATGTCACTAGCCACTTGGCTAGTAAGTTGAAAAGTTAGTGTCGAGCCCTGCCTTTAGCCCTTGAGGGTGACCTTTCCAACTGGGCGAGATGTAACGATGTGGAAGTTTCAGTGAAAGGAGTTCATATGGAACTCTTCAATGATTGCCTGTAAATAGTTGAGAATTTAAATCTTGCAGATACTTTAACAAGTCAGGGTAAGTTATTGATATTTCTCTTTATGGCCAATTTGATTGGTAAAACTAACTAAAAGTATGCTGTTAAGGCTTTATGTGACTAGCAGTTAATTTCTCCTAACAATATCAACCCTGAATCACACATTCAAGTCACAAGAATAAAAAAAATAACCACCAATTAAGCTCTTGGCCCTGGTTGTTCGAAGGATGGATAATGCTATCCACTGGATAAATCTTTAACCGGTGGATAGCGCAGTACATTTTGGTAACACTTATCCCCTGGATAGCGATTTATCCGTTGGATAGCGCTATCCGCTCTTTGAACAACCAGAGCCTGATTGTTAAACTAATTCTCCTTTTCAGCACCTTACAGTATGGAGAATATGCATGCTGATATAAGGGTGTAAAGAGTTAAGCAATTTGGTAATATCAACTAAGTTAAAATTGTAAATTGGCCACCGTAAAGAGTTAAAAAGCTGATGTTTCAAGCGTTAGCCATTCATATCCTTCGCTCTGACAAAGGGCTAATGCTTGCAACATCAGCTTTTTCGCGGGGCTCCCACACGCACATGGGGCAGAGCCCCATACCCATGGAATATGGTCAGCCTCTTTTCATTTGGTTGTCACGTGACTGACTGAGCGTATGTACATACGTACATGCCTTCAGATTGCATGGGTATGGTAAGGGAGACTATCAAAACGAAGGGAGGGGTGTCTCAGGTGAGTCTTGGCAAATGCACACCTTTTATGCTATCATTAATATTATGAACTTGATATTACCAAATTACCTTGATACCCCCACCGACATAGCACCACAGTTTCTTTAGAAACTTACCCCCTTTATTATAAAGAGTTAAGCAATCTACCAAGATATAATAAATGAGAGTTTGGTGTTAACCCTTCAATTCCCAGGAGTGATGAGGACAGATTTCTCCGCATAATATTGTTGGAAAAATGGACTGCAGGACTGTCACACTGTGACAGACAGTCCCATCTCCTGCATCTATTAATTAGTTAATTTGGTTAGGCAGGGGACGTTAAAGAACCCACTCACGAGATTACTGTGATGTGGTCTGGCCTGTTTACTGGGAATTGGGGGGGAGGGGGCATCTTCAAATAAGTTTCCTTCGATTGTTTGTAAACTGCTGATGCAGTCCGGCCAAAGTCCCCCGAAAAGTGTTGTGATGCGCATTTGATCATATCCACATGTTAATTTGCGCAATATAAATATTAAATTATTATTATTATTATTATTATTATTATTATTATTATTATTATTATTATTAANCTTTACCCCCCCGGCTTGTAGTCAAGTTAGCAATGAAGCAGAAGTAATAAAACACAACAAAAATAACTTCTGAATATTGGTTATTCACTTTTATGAAATTGGTGGCTCCTAAAGGAGCCGTTTGACGGATACGTGCAAGGGCTTTCAACCCAATGGTTTACTCGCCATCCGTTTCGTTTTCGCTGTCTGTGTCGAACTCGTTCTCTTCTATGTATTCATCATCTACTTCTGGGGTTTCCTCAGAGTAGACCACGTCGTCCTCTGTTCCGTCCAAGGCATTGGAAATACCGCAGGTCTTGAAGGATTTGACAACCATCTCTTCGGGTATCTCTGCCCATGCTTCCTTGATCCACCTGAGGACAAGATTTCTGCTTGGCGCCTTCTTCTTCCCAGCTGGGGTAAACTCAAATGGCCCAGATGTCATCCACGCCAAGTACTTTCGGCGCACATTATCTTTAAATGGCTTGTTTAGGCACTTATCCAAGGGCTGTACAACCGGGGTTAGGCCACCAGGGATAACTGCGACGTCAATGTTTCGCTGCTTCAGGTCATCTTTCACGGAATCGGTCAAGTGAGCTCGGAATGAGTCCCACACCAAAAGGGAACGCTCGGCACGGGGCAAACTCTGTCGAATCCATTCTCGGATGCCCTGTTCATCCATCCACCCTTTCTTATGGAAGGAAACACGAAGAGGATGCGGCACAACCAGATCTCTCGGTGTACGGACGCCTTTGAAGATGACTTTCGGTGGCACCTTTGCTCCATCGGCAGCAACAGCAAGAACGACGGTGAAGCTCCGCTTTTCCGCTCCGCAAGATTTTACTGGCACTGTTCGGCTTCCACTGAATTCCAGTGTTCGGTTCGATGGCAGCTCAAAACGCATGGGTGTCTCATCCATGTTGTAGATGCGGGATAAAGGGTAGTCGGCGCGTCTTCTTGCTGCAATGACGAAGCGATGAAAGCACACAATGTTCTCTTCGAGATCGGCGGGCAATCGCTGGGCCAGAGTTGTTTTGGTTCGCATGCTGACCGAGTGGCGTCGTTTCCATTTCTCGTACCATCCACGGGAAGCTTTGAAAGCAGGATCATCGGAGAGCTCTTTAGCTTTAAGGCGAAGGATCAATCCACTCACCGCAATACCTACGAAAAATAAAATAACAATCTTATTTTGCTGCGAGATAACCGTAGATTCGTGACTGCAGCACTCTTTTCGTGACATGTTATGAAATTGTCATGACAACAACATATTTCTGACCAATCAAAGTCTCTGTTTCCCACGCACTGAAAGACGATATCATTCAACTCTTCAAAAACTCTTAAAATTTTAGACAGAAAAGTAAATACCAACCTTGTTCTCTTTGCTGTGAAAACCACTCCATCACTTGCTGGTCTAGTTCGGGATATTTCGGAGTGAAACGGCCCATCGTCGCACGTTTTGCAGACATCTTCAGCTCTCCGGAAAGAATAGTCGCCTGGTCTCTTCTCCAGCGTCGTACCATGGACTCGCTTAGTCCATATTCTCGAGCGATTTCCGAGTTGTTTTCTACCGCTTCAGCTTCCGCGATAACTTTTATCTTGAAAGCCATACTATACGAGGAACGGCGTGCTTTAGGCATGATGATAAAAAGTGACAGCGACGAAAGGTATACTCGATAGATTGATACTTTGAAACGTTTAACTGAGATTATTATTGTTGTTGTGGTTAATCTGTTGTCGCGTGGTAGTATTTATACAGTTCGTTGGATCAATTGATATTCATATCTCTTGATTGGTTCGCTTTTTTTCTTTTGTGTTTATTGTAATTCATTAGGTTTTGTGTTTAGTGAGTCAATTTCTTATGTTTTCCGTGAGGTTCGCTTGCTCAAATGGCCAGTTACAATCAATAATTTCGCTCTCGGCTTATAGCCGATGGTTTTACCTTTTTTTTTGGGCAGCTTGAGTGTAGCGTAAAGACCCTGAAAGTCAGGGTCTCGGCTTATAGCCGAGATCGGCTTATAGGTGAAGAAATACGGTACTTGATAACTGACCTGGAAGAGTGCAGGAGGGAGGAGATAGTTGCACATATCTGGGAAGGTGACTTCTGGAAATATCGAGAGGTTCCAAATCCAGTTCGATTTCAATATGGATGCAGGGTCTGGCAAAACACCCTCGTCTGTGGCAAGTAATTCAGCCATGATATGATTTTCATTTTAACTTTCCCCTTCAGTCACTTTCGGGAGCTTCATTGAATGAGCATTAAACGCAAGCTCAACCAACTGGGCCTTTCTTTTACACTTTCCTTCCGAGGATGTTTGTATCCCTCTTCCTTTTGACGCTGAAAGTATTGTAGACTGATCTCACCTTTTTTTTCTGACGTGGCTATGACAACGATGATTACTTAGATTTACTTTCAACTCGAAGAAACTACAAATTTACACTAGAAAAACAATAATAACCCAAGAAAGCAGTTTCTGCTCGAAGATGTGAGCAACTAAAGCTCCATTCGAATGAATTTTGTTCCCCGGAGTCTCGCTTGGGTGTTCAAGTTTCGCTACCAGTCTCTCACGTTGAAATATATCGAAATTGGTCTATTAACCCTTTAACTCCCTGAAGTGATCAACATGAAACTTCTCCCTAAATTATCCATACATTATCCAGCAAAAAGGCTATGAGAATACTCAAACTTATCAATTTGAAGTTGTTATCCTGATCTAACACCGAATTCTCAGAACTTATTTTTACAAGGAAATGTTGAACACGTGTTCAGAATTGATCACTCCCGCGAGCCAGTCCCATAGCTACAGAAATGCAATAAATACCTACCTCTCCATCACAAGACCCAGACAGCAACACAGATAGATTCCTTGGATGTCTAGAAATGCAATTCACACCGTCTGTGTGTCCACCTAACGAACCGACAAACGGTTTGGCGAACACCCGTTCGAGTTTGATAGCATTCAGTGCCCGTGTATATTCGCGCGGTGCTTCGAAGGGATGCAACGAAGGGTCAAAGTTGCGATGGATCTTATGAATATCGGTCCTCCTTTCTCTAATGTAGTCTGCTGGATTCCTTGAGAGGACTTTAACCTTCATTTTTCGTAACTTTAAACTAAAAGTTTACACAACCTTTCACAAACCCGCCATGTTTTTGCGCCGTCTATACTATTGAACAGCGGTGATAAGTCTGCCTCGACCTGGTAGTGAGACAGTCACTTAGTTCCCATGACAACTGCTAACGCTAATGTGAACAAGATGGCGGCATGCTAAGAAGCAGAAATGAATAGTTTTGTCATTGAAAAGCATTTTCGATCTCGATTCTATTTCGATCTGTCGTTTGCTTGATGATCTACTAAGATAATGATTTAAACAATGGTTAGTTTTAATTGATCTTTTTTCCGTTATTTATGACGGTGTATTTATGACTTTTCTTGATATACTTCTCCGACAATTTACTTGTGTGATGATGTGTTTCATTTTGGCTGAGCGATGATCGGATCTCATTGTTCGTTGTGTAACTATACTTTATCTGAACAGGATAAATCTTCGTCGAGTGTGAAGCTTCCCAACATAGAAAAGAAAAGCTCCGGAGGAGAAGAACAGCCTCGAGAAAAATTCCATGCGACAAACTGGAAATCCCTTAGCAAGAAGGAAATTCAGAAGCTCCCTCCGCAACAGCGGAGCAAATACCTGGCTGTGAGAGACAGATCTTTTAGTTATCATTATTTATATCTTTGTTGTTATTGTTTAGCCATTGAACTCCTTAAGATATATGACAAGTAGTTGTTCCCTCTAGCTGCTATGGATCTAGTTCCTTGTAAATTACGACGACGACGACGACTTTTTCAGGACTTCTCTCAGACCTTACAAATTACTCAAGTTCAAATTTATTCACCACCATAAACATTACCAAGAGTAGTTTTCATTGTAAGATAAGTGGTGAGGAGATCTTAAGAAACCTTGGGATTATTTTAAGAGGTCTTTGTGACGATATCTCGTACAGTGTAAGTTGTTTATCAATTATTATTATGAGGAGCTGAGACTGCAGAGCATGACAAGCTCTGACTGGCCATCGTCTAGATGGTTATACCAAGTTTCGCCCATAACGAGTTTCGCCCACATCGTTTCACCCAGAACGACAATGGTTTTGCCTACGAGTAGAAGTGATTAAATCTAGTCAGGTAATTTTGTTATATGAACTTAGTTGAAATTGTAAATTTGCCACCGTAGCGCTCTAAACGTTTTTTATTCCCCGATAATCGAGGCAAAGTAAGCTTAGGAATCTCAACTCTCGACCTCTCTTGTCAGAAATAATTCTAGTCAGATCAGAGATTCTTATTCTGTGTACCCAGTTCTTTACCCAGACCTATACCCAGTATAGGTCTGGGTGAAAGGAGGATAGGTCTGGGTGAAACGCTTTATGGGCGAAACTCGTTATGAGCGAAACCTGCGGCTTCCGTCTTGATTGTTCTTTGTGGATTTTTTATGTGTGCTTTTATTGTTCTTGGCAATATATTCATTTTTGTGTTTCATTTGCTTTCAAGTACGAGCCTGCTCCAAAGGAATGCAATGAAGCAATGTCAGCAGCAAGAAAGAGAATAAAGGACTTGGAAAAGTCCAAACGAAAGTAATTATATACTAACTGTGTTTGTTACCATCCAAATGAAGTAACACAGGGTTCATATGGGTCCTGGAAAACCTGGAAAGTCTTGGAATTCTGTTTCAACATTTTTCAGGACTTTCCAGTCCTGGATAAAGACTGCAAAGTCCTGAAAATCTGCTTAAATCAAGCAATTAAGTTTTCAGAATTTACGTTATAGAAATGTAAACAGATGGTAAAGGGAATAGATTTTGAAATCTTGGCATTGAAAGGGTTATGATGAAATTAGGAGTCTCAGAAAAGTCCTTGATATTTGTTTGTGAAAAAGGATAAGAACCCTGGTAACACAATGAATACATGTATTTGTATTCTTTACAGGGAAGCCAGCTGTAAACATTCCCTGAACCCTCTAATCCCTCAGAATGACCAACATTGAATATCTTGATACCTTACCATATCACCCCTAAATTATACATAAAGGTCATATGCATGAGAAGAAAGGAAATATAATCACCAGCTTAAGAAATTCCTGATTGTTAAGTGTATTCTGCTTTTCATTATCATAAGAAATATATAGCGAACAGTACGGAGAATATGCATTTTAAAGGGTTAAAAGGGAATTTCTACATCCAATCCCTTTCTGTGCAAACACAAGAGCTCTCTTTTGCCAGTTAAACAGAGAGCAGTGACAGAGGCCTTATAAGTGGTGGCCAATGGCTGCTTATTGGCTGTTATTGATACCCTGCTATGGTATAATGGTAAAATTTTGCACATGCCAGTTCTTATTTCATTTTATTTAAAATGTTCTTTGAAGGCAACAGAAGCCCCCACCATTTGAAGAAGTTATTGAGGGTGAAAAGCATACAAAGATAATAGGACAACTGAAGTAAGTGAATTTATTTACGGTTATTTGATACATGTTAAGAATAGAGAGAGGTTTTACAATTTGTTGTGGGAGACATAGTGGCTGAGTTGTCAGTGCACTGGACTCTGGGTTGAGAGATCTGGGTTGGAGACCTGGTCAGCGACCTCTTTCCCAGGGTCTCTCATCTTCCCGCCCCCCTGGAGCGAGAGAAGGGGCAGGAAGATGAGAGACCCTGGGAATGAGGTTCGCCCAGTCAGGACAATGTGTTGTGTTCTTGGGCAAAACACTTTACTCTCATTGTAAAAATGGGTATATCTATTTTATTAATTGTTTTGTTGTGTGGTATTGCTGAGTGATTTGCCCATTTGGGAATTTATTTGTGTGGGGACTGGGGCTAATCCCAAAGGGATTAGAGACATTTAAATATGCCCTTTGGTGTGTGAAGAAGAGATAATTGTGTAATCAACAGGAGAAGAGTGTAGCAGAATTTTTGACTGGCATGAACTTGTGGTCAAAGGTGAAGAAATAGAAGGCTAGGTGTCGACACAGGAAATGTAAGAGTTTCATTTTTGGCTTTTGTCAAAAAAGTGCAAACATTAAACTTTTACATTTCCTGTGTCAATGCCTAGTCTTCCATTTCTTCACCTTTGACCACAAGTTCAAACTACTGAGTATTTTGCAAGTGTTGTAATACAAACATTGAGTAAAAATACTCAGTAATACTACACAACAAGTCATCTAATAAGAGATTTATTATCCAACACGCCAAATTGTTATCTCAGTGCAAGCAAATTTCTCTGGATGTTCTCTGGAGTACAAATATTGCAAGATATTTGTACTTGTTTTGGGTGTTATTTGTACTCTATGAAGCACAGTTGGATGATAAATATATCTTATTATTAAAAACTGGATCATTGGATAATGCAATTCAAGATTTTTTATTGGCTTAGCCATTATGGTATATGAGCCAATATACCATAATCTACAAATATGGTAAGTGTACACATAAGCTTTAAATCAAAAGGGAGCTAAAAAATCTGGTTTCTTCTTACAAAATAATAATTTCTGGGGGGCGTTTTTAATAAAACAATTATTCCACCCACGCTTGTTGGAAATGAGATGATTATAGCCAACTTGGCACTAGGCACCTCATTAGCTATCTATCATCTCGTATCCAACGTGCACTCATGGAATAATTGTTAATTAGACGTTTTGTTGTGTAGTATCGTTGAGTATTTTTACAAGTTGTGCCGTATTTTGACAAGCCCGTAGGGCAAGTCAAAATACAAACAACAAGTGAAAATAATCAGCGATACTACACAACAAAACGTCTAATGAGAGATTTATTGTCCAACAGGCCAAATTGCTATTCAGTGCAGGAAAATTTCATGGATATTTCTGGATTACAAATATTGCGTGATATTTGTACCTGTCTTGTGCGTTATTTGTACTCTACGAAGCTCAGTTGGATAATAAAAGGGGGTTACTGGCAAATTGTTAGGGAAGCCTGATTAAATGCTTGGGGTAACCTTGCAATAGACTAGCATCCCATCCAGGGGGGAGTAGTGAACTTCTAGTCACTTCATCCTTGGGAAACCCCAATAAACTTTGCCTGGATGGGCCACTAAGCTCGAGTACAGACTTGATTTATTTTCACCTTAATTTTCCTATTGGTAGCTTAAAAAACCTTATTGGGTTAATTATTCGGAGATTTTGCTGTTTGCCATATTTATGGAGAAAACTGATAAATCTTTTTATTTATCATTTATTTTTAAATTACTATTTACCAGAGCTGCAGAAGCAAGGAACCGCATAAGGCTAATGAGGCTCAGATACCAAAATAACAGGGTAAGCTAATCACAAGATCTAAGAATTGATTCTCCCCTCTAGCTGCTACCTCTTTCCTTGTAAATTGGTTAGGAGAATTTGGGGTTTGATGAAGGTAACAACTTCTACCTGATAAGTGAAAGTTTGAGTATTTTCACTACTTGTTTTCTGGATAAGGTATGGATATTATAGGGAGAAGTTACATGTTAATCACTTCTGAGAGTTAAAGGGTTAAAATGTAAGGAAAGTCGACGTGTAAGTAATGACTTTTTGTTAAGGCAGATGAGATGTCTAAAAAGTTTTTTTAAGACCTTGCAGTTTGTATTTTAAACATTTTATCCACTTGCGATTACCTTCAATTCTGTAAACCTTGTTAAATTGTCTTTCAGAGTTCAGAAGTGAACCATTTAATCGGATGTCAACCAACAGCACTTAAAGCTGTCCGTCTCCAAAGCCTTGTGCCTCCCAGCCCTGACAAGATTTACATCAGAGACTTGTTAGTAAAAAACGAGGTGAGAATATTTTCACGTCAATTTACAGCCCTGATGCATGAGTAAATATAGGAAACTCAAACAAAAAGGGAAGCAATCGGATACAGAAAAGAATGGTTATGAAGAGAAGAACCGTATGCGAATTTAAATTGCAGTACAGAGTACAGTTAACGTTAAAAAAAAAAAAAAATGAAAGAGACCAAAATATTGATCACAAAAATAAAGTGTGACGCGGGAAAAAAGAAAAAAAAAGATGCATCGCAGGTAGGAGAGGAAACAGAAAAGCATTACACAAACTAAAAAACTCAATTCAAATTTAAAAAAAAAACAGCAGTTGGCATCGAGGCCAACAGAGAAACAAGGTCCACGTAGAGTACTAGCGAGGCATGAATGAAAATGGCCTAAATATCTCAGAGAGAGACGGTGATAACCACTCATTATTTCACGGTCTTAGTATCAGTATGTGCACATCACAGAGATTTAGCACGCGTTTACGTGAAACGTCACGGCAAGAGCGACCACGTGACCTTCTTTCCCCGCCATTTTTTCACGTTTGCCGGTTGCACTTTGCCGTTTCCACGTGATAGTAACCAGTTTCGCGTTTGCCGTGTACTTAAGATTTTTTTCACTTTTTGTGTCACAGAGTAAAAGATAATTACTGTAAAAGGGCACCAATACTATTATTTGTAAGTCTTTCAAGGGCGCCTTCAAATCTACCATGACGCGAGCTAACGTGAAGCTATAGGCAGCAAGGTTTATGCTATTTTACGTGAAACGTGAAAGGACAAAGCTGATGTTTGCCGTTTCACGTAAACGCGGTGCTAAATGTCTCTATTGAAAAGAACGTTACGGGATTCTGACCAACGGAGAGATGTAAATGTAATTATTTTAGAACAAGAGCAAAAATGGAATATGTTTTATCGAGCAACAACTAATTGGATCCAGCAGTAGATCATACGAGTAAGATCATAGACGTGTCTCTCCTTTAAGAACTTTCCTCGCTTTGCTAAAAGAAAAAGATACGATCGTTGAGGTTAATCTTTACAAAGATTTCCAAGAGTACTTCTCAGCTAAATTATGTTTATATTGTTCTTATTTTCAGAGATACAGAGTAAATTCATTGCTGGAGGATGAAACTGGCTTGGAAACCGCACGAATTCTCACGTGACCCAAAGTTTTATCATCCCCTGATTGGCAGACGATACAACCGTGCAGGTGCTTTTACGTTCGGGTCCAGTCCCTCTCAGTGAGCCTCGTGATCTTCATTCCTCAAAACAAAAACTTGAAACAAGAATTTTTTTACGTTGCGGTTCTTTATTTCTCCCTTCCCATGTACAAATTCCTGTTCTGAGACAGAAACGAACACGTTATACAACCTGCTTCGTAGACACAAATGTCTCAAATGCGCCGATGTATAAACTTTAAATATTTCTTTACGTCATTTTGTTTTGTTTTCTGGTGTTCAAAACCAAAAAGATGGTGAGCCCTCCTGAATAAATATATGGATAATATGACCTTAAAAAATCTCTATATAAAATATTTCTTAGAATTTATCCTTATTAAAAATATTTAATCTTTATTACAAATAAAATCTGCGTATTGAATATGAGAAATTGTTCCTCAAACTAAAATAAATGATTAATTTTCTTTTATTATAGACCTAAGGGGATTATAAATTCACCCTCTTTTAAACTGCCAAAGCCAGATCGAGGTAACGATATTAGCCAATCAGTAGGAAGGAAACTTTCAGCGGAGCCTATGCGATGCCAGAGCTCTTAAGCGCGGCAACAGGCAAGCAGGAAAGCCACGAATGGTTTTATTTTTGAACCTGATTGGTTGAGGAAGTCGCGTGAGTTATTTGGACCAATCACAGAGCTCGGAGAAGCAGAATAAGATCAATTATGGGTTTCCTTTGACACTCGATTGTAATTTGCTCTAAACTCAAGTGCTTGTCACAACACTTCCTTTCGCGCTCATAAACGCGGTTGCTAACTAAAAGATTAGCTTCATGTACCAGGCAGTCTTTTGTCTCGTTGATTAAAGGTTTAGAGCCGGCAGTCAAAGATCATAACCAGCGGTCATTTCCCAAAAGTTTGGCTAGGTGAAGGAAAGGGCCTGGTGAGGAACTGTAAAAATTGAAGGAAATCGGCGATTAGGTGTCATCTTTTTCGGTTGACGTACGGAGAAGAGACATGAGAATATGTTGGAATTGGCGCTGAAGGTTCAAACATTGGGCGTTCGTTTCTGGGTCTGTGACCAGCACTTTTTGATGAGATTTCTTCACTGTCGTCGCTCTTAACTGTCATTCCATGTTCACTGCGCGACCTCGCAAAGTTCTTTCTCTTTTCCTTGAGCAATTCACTGTCAAATGAATTAGACATTCCTCGTCTCATGTGGACGGTTTTGGTAGGTCTACTTCTTTCAAACTCTTCCTCAGAATCGTTCCTATAGTAACGGTTCTGCTGACGAATGTAGGGACTGGGGGTCACACCAGGGAGTGTCGCCTGTTCGTTACTCAAGTCGAAAGCATAGGCAGGAGAAACTTGTTTTTTCCTGGGTTTCAGTCGCGCCTCCTCGAACGTCTGCAAAGGTGGCTGAGTGCGGGATCTTCGTGGTTTTCTCCCTGGGATGCGGATGGTAAACCCGTACCCGTCCCCGATTAGATAGTCAAAATTTAACGAGTCCAGCTCTACTACGTTTTTAGAAGGACTAGGAGGCGGTTTCGTGCGTGTTGGCGGGGCGTTCGCTGTCGGCCAGTTCTGCTGGTTTTTATTTGCAGCAAACATGTAATACGCTACACGTCTTTGAGCAGTGATAAAGCTTAGTTCTGTGTCCTCAGTTACGGCGAGAACCGACGGCGATGGTTGGGGTTCCTGTGATGCAAACTGAAATTAAAAAGAGGTTACTAAGTCACATGAGTGACACCTTGAGAAAAAATTTTTTGTCAGAGTCGACAAATGTAATGTAAATGTAAATTAATATGGTTATTTGAAAATTTGAAAGTTTCCTTTCCATACCTTCACCAGGAAATCGTTCTTCTCTGCCTCTTGCGAGCCACAGTTTTGCAATTCCTCTCTCTGTATGAAAAAGAACAGTTATGTTTTTCGTTGGTCTTTTGTTTTCTTGATCAATTGAACGTTGAGGATAACTACCCGCTAAACTTGTCGATCCCCGTGAGTCACCAGAGACTGTAAGAAGTCACGAAGACAATGCCGAGGATGATGAACTTATATTTACAATTCGGAAAAATCACTCATGGCTGGATGTCTTTACTGTCTCTTTCGGCGACACACATGTGAGCCAAGTTGAGTTCCACATGGAAACTTAAATAATTTGCCGTCGGCGTCTCCGTTCTCAGACCACGCAAATTTTGATGATTTCACGTTGTTGCTTTACAAAGGACAGCTAAAAATATGCACTGTATTAAAACGCACATCCTGAGCTATTTTTCTGCCCATTAGATCTTTGTTACGTCACGTCCTCGTTGACGTCGCCGTCGTGGTGTGCTTAAGGCCCCTACTCAGTTACTATCAATCATTGTCACCAGTCCTCTCCAGGACTTCTCTTACTACAACGATCAACTTGCATGTACAGGATCGACTGTTAATGTTATTGTGGTTGGTTCTGTATTATCTTTATTTCACGTTAGAGATATTTGGCAAACCACGACGGCGACGAAAACAAGGAATTGACGACAGAAAAGGTTTAAAGTGTGGAACAATAGCGTTTCAACATTGTGGACAATTCCTAGCTGCCGATTGATTTCATTGTACAGCCCATGAGGCCCTTGCGAAAAGTAATTTCGAACTCACCCGTTCTGGTAATCTAACAGATTTAACAATGTCAGTAACACAGGTTTATCATATAAGGGGCAAAATTACTGAATTGTGATTGGTCAAGACAGAGGGCATTTTTTTCTTAATTTTTGTAATTGCCCCAGGCGTGTGACTTTGTATATACATGCGTAATAGCCATCGAATTTCTTTCGGGTACATCAAGCAAGGAATATTGTCCACGAAGGCAGCCATGGCTTTAAACCATGCGCTCTAGGGTTCATTGTACGCATGCGCTCACATTTTACGCATGCGCTGTAGTGGAGTACAACCCGAGTTACGGACATACACGTGTGCACGATAACATATTGGACATAGTGCCTTGGGCTCTACGAGCACTAGGCACAATAAAACGGAAAGAAGAACGAGATATTTACCTCATGAAAGAGATTCGTCTCAGACATCAACAAATGCCAGATTAGTGTCACAATCTGAGCAACTGCACACCTACCCATCCCCTAATGTTGGTATCTAAGCAACTGCACATCTACTCCTCCCCTAATGTCAGTATCTGAGCAACTGCGCACCTACCCCTCCCCTTATAACAACAGTCAACAATTAAGGGCCGATGTCAGATTAGGGGAGGGGTAGGTGTGTAATTGCTAGTGTAGCGTGACTATTTTATTTCCTAGTCACGCGATCGTGTAAGGACAACATTCGCCCCGGTTTCTGCTCCTCCGGAATCGGTTAATTCCTCTTTCAAAATGGTCGTAAACAATTCCGAGATTCTCCTGTCCAAATGTGCCCAGTTTAGAGACGAGGAGCAGTTCACTNGATGAAGGGCTAGCACTCAAAACATCAGCCTAAAAACTCTTTACGGTTACCAATTTACAATATCAACTCAGTTGATAAACCTACTTCACCAAACTACCCCTACTACACCAAAGTACACCAAACTGTACTTACCCCACCAAACTACAACCACACCAAACTGCACCATATTACATGTACTACACTAAACTACACCTATTACACCAAAGAACACCAAACTACACCTACTTTTCCAAACTGCACCAAACTTCACCTGCCACACTTAACCACATCAAACTAAACTAAACTCAGAGTCTTAAAATAATTGAGAAGAATATGCTACCTTTCTATAACATCAAGAAATGGTTAGATATTCTAGTCTTCTCAGATAGGGATGAATAAATGAAGGTCCCGTCTCCTGCAGGGTTAGGGGCAGGAGACGTTAATTTCCCACACCAGAAATTGCCCGAGTCGCGCAGCGACTCGGGCAATTTCAGCTACTTCCGAAAACACGCGTGATATTAATCCTTAATTTTACTCGGCCCCAGGCCATTACCTATACTAATTGATGACCATGCGAGTGACTGAGCTGAATAACGTCAAAGGTATGCGGTCAACAACGCGGACTCAAGCGTACGAGATTAAAAGTTTAGCGAAATTTGCGAAAATAATAAGGAGCTGGCATTTAAAACCGAAAGTATTTTGTTGTCAGCGAGGGCATTTCCCTATTTCGAAAAGCTCTTAAGGAGAAAATTAATTTTCAATGTATTTAGGGGGTGTTCAAAATATTTTTGGAAGTTGTTCTGCAAAAGAAAAGTGGCAAGGAAAACAACGTCAGTGTAGAGACTCAACAATGCGAACGACTCAAAATCCGTTTTTCCGCGCCAAAACCTAGCACTTGCGCATACGTTTTTCAGCTCTGTCCATGCGAGCCAATTCCTTTAGACCAAATTAACCTTGCCATCAACCAATATATAACCCACTACGAAGTAAAAATGTTTAGATTTATCCAAGTGTATGTGCGGCAAACTCCTTGAAATTTTTTTTAAGGCATCCAAACCTGTCTGCAGTTCTAGTCAGAAAAACAAACTCTAAGATGAAATATGTTTACCTTTTTCGCACGTTCTTGAATCCTCTCTTGAGAGAAGATAGGGATTCCACCATTTGTTCGGTGCACGTATGGATTCACAAACTTTCCCTGGTTCGTCTTTGTCTTTTTCTGTTTACAAGAAGATTAGAACGAATTGGTCAAATCACTGATTTCAAATAAAGAAGGCGCTAGTCCCGTATCCAGACCTCTCACAGCCACGCGGTTGTCACAGTTACACGATGGGAACTGGGTACGAGATCAGGGAGGCGCCTCAAGGTTTTGGAGAAATAAATTAACACTAATTTTGTAGAGAACAAAAAGCAAATCATATGATGTTGTTCAATAAACAAAGGGAAAAAGATCCTGATAACAAAATTTTGTCGACCGAGATAATTTTAGTTTTATCAACTGAGCTGATAATGTAAACTGGCCACCGTAAAGAGTTTCAAAGCTGACGTTTCGAGCGTTAGCCCTTCGTCATTCAGCTTTGAAATTCTTTACGGCGGCCAGTTTGCACTATTAACTCCATTGATAAAACCAGATTACCTTGTCATACTCTTCCACCGAGGAACCAACCAACCCAAGATTCTGTCAAAATTATTCTTGCGAATTTTAAATGGTTAAAATTTGGCCCGTTTACAGTATCAATCGTTGAAGATAACCTTCTTGTTTTTTTGTTGTGGTTCTTGTTATCATTTGTTGTTATTGTTTTAAATACCACACAGTTTTTAATAAGAAAATATTTTTTATACGGCTTAAATTATGGTTATATTTTTAAAATTCTTTAGAATATCAGATTCATTGACTGTGAGCCTGGTAAGTTTGTAAGTTAATCTCATCCTTCAGGTACTTTTAATTAGTAGGAACAATACTTTACTGTGTGGATATTTCCACGGCATTCCTTACAGGCCTTCTGTCAAGGAACGATAAAAGCAGAGTTAGACAGGAAGACTAATGCATGCTTTTTGTTAAAAGTAGTTAAACCAATTAGGCGGATTGTAAATTAAGTGCTAAATCTCTCATGTTGCGTTACGTTCAGAAGCCACCAAGGCCTTTAACGATCAGCTTTTCGCCGTTTACCTCAATCTATTCATTATGAGAATATCTACAGTTTCTGTGAATAAGAGAACGCTTCTTAATTTTGCTGTGAAGAATATTTGAAAATTAAAGAAAAATTTATCAGAATCAATTTTTGCCGTTTGCATTGGTGAAAAGCTGAGATTACGCCTAAAAATTTCCAAACCCAATTTCCTAATCTTCATTTCAGGTCCTACCTCCTTGATACTACCACTTTCGTCTGCCGTTGCACGATCACCAGTTTCTGAAGTCACGGGAGGTTTCTGAAAAAAACATTTAAAAAATAAACAAATCGTAAGTACTTTAAGCTATGCTACCCAACGAAACTAGCAACGTATCATGTACTTCTTTTCTTTCACAACTTGATTCTTAGCTAGCTTCTGCCGAAAAGAAATTTGCTGAAACAATTTCCAGACTACAACATTTTTGAGCAAATTTCCGATCACAAGCCGACAACTTTTTCCAGAAGATGACCTTAATTCAATTTTTTTTTTTATGGTGTACTTTACTGAGCAACGCCCCTTATAAAGATATCGAGCCAGTTTCTTGCAATGCGACGAAGATATGCGTCGCAAAACACTTTCACGAAAAATTGCCGTTAATTACTCGTTTTTCCAAACTGCTGGTTATCTGGTGATTGCTGACGTTACAAACGCATAAGGTGTAACTATGGAAACAAGCGCGCGCGTAGTTTTGATTCCCGCGCGGAAATGTTGGACCGGGAAATGTAAACAAGGACTAAAGACAAGTACATAACTTTACAAATTAAGCTTACCGATAATGTATCCCACCAATGTTTAGCCTTCTTTTTCTTCTTTTTCTTCCTCTTTCTCTCCCCCTTTAAAATCGTAGAAAACCGTCAGTTTTAGGTACGCACGCTTAACATTTCCATTTCCTTTTTCCTTCTTTCAATTACGTAAAATCAAAAATTCAGCTTTGACTACTGTTTGTCTCTGTGCACGTTACATTAAGGTAGCCACAAGTTAACAAACCTCAAGCCTCCAATACAAAACAATCAATACACTGAATGCAAAAATGGCAGACTTCTCGGACGGGCTAGGTCTACTACACGAAAGCGAGGCTAGTGAGGCCTCGAGTTTTGTTTTAGGAAATTGTGAATATTCAGTTCGCTTATTTTAAACAAGCAGAAGCAAAGAATAAGGCCCCAACAATTAGCATAATGAATCAAGCTGACGACCAGATACAGTGAATAGCTAGTTGTTTAATTAAAGGACGTACTTTGCTGTCTTCTAGAGAGCGATTGATTCGGCGAATGGTGCGATCTATCATTCACCAAACAACAGGGTGAAGGAAATAAAGAAAATCCCTTCTATATCGTAAGCTCAGGAAGGTTTGTGACCCATGCTGATGATTTTTATCACTCTCCTTGCTGACATGCGCAATACATAAGTCAGTGTACACTTACAGAATTGTCACTGGATCCCGGCCCATCTTCCTTGTCATCAAAGTCATTGTCTTCGCTGTCTGAGTCACTGGAGCTAAAAAAAAGACGCCATTAGGACAAATTTCCAATCGAGTGTTAAAATAAATGCTGGGTGGCATCGGTTTTGCTACTCTTCGCTCATTGGTCTGGAACACATGCACGATCTTCAGCTCAAAACCAAACAGACGCAAATCTAAAACCAACTATGACGCGTTCAAGGGCACTTTCCCGTACTTGGCATGCCTCGTTTGTTTTCCCGCGCTCATAAACCGTTACACCTTTCCCGTGCTTCGAACTGGCTGTAACCTTTACAGGGCTGTGCCACGATGATTCGCTTAGCTATAGTATCTGTGCTGTACGAAACTATCGTCAAATTGGAGAACACCACAAAATATAAACATGCAAAGATAAAAAAAAATACTAAAGACACAGTAAGAAGCAAAGAAGGAGGTAGGATGTACGAGGATGGAAGAGATTGTCACAGATTGCGAAAGGCATACTCGAAAAATAAGGCCAAAATTTTCAAAGTTTATAAACTGAGAGATTTAACCGCCTCCGGTCAGCTCAATTGGTAGAGCGCCGGACTGTTGTGACCAACTCTCGGGGTCTTCAATTAACTGAGAAGAATGTGCTGCCTTTGTAATAATATCTGCAAATGGTTAGACTTTCTAGTCTTCTCGGATAGGGACGATAAATGGAGGTCCCGTCTCCTGCAGGGTTGGGGTAGGAGACGTTAATTTCCCACACACGAGATTACTGTGTGATGGATGTCCTCCCCGGGGTGGGATGGGTGGGTAATAAAGAGGTTAGGTGGCAATTGAAACGAAAGTTCTGTTCCTTTCTCCTACCATTCTTGTGGCGAATGAATTAAACTTAAACTTAAACTGTGGCGAATTTTAATTTTCCATAACTAAGGAAGCCTTTTGCCATTTTGTGTGACTTTGGAATTAACCCTTCACATTCTAACATCAGTATGCATATTCTCCATACTGTTCTCTATACATTTCCTATGGTGCAGACAAGGATAATTTGTTTGAAAATCAAGAGCTTCTAGGGTTAGTGATCAGTTCCTTTATTCTCCTTACCTTACTGTGAGATTAAGGTGTGATATTGTGAGGAGAAATTAGATGCTTGTCACTCTTAAGGGTCAAAGGGTTCAGCACCCTTAAGCTAGTTCTACGGATCAATTAAAGTATCTGAGAAACCGTGGAACTGCGCACCCACCGCTCCCCTGACGCAACATGGGCTAGGGGAGGGGTGGGTGGGCAGCTACTGACAGATCTATCACCAACTTACTCTGACTCATCGAAGCGGTCCACAAGATCTAAATTCTCCAGAATCTTCAAACAATCGTTAAACGAATCCACATGGACACCTTTCACTGATACTTCCACATCGTCCTCACCTCCGCCTGTGGGTGCTTGCAATCGAACATCCATAAAACTTACGGGTTTTTTCTTCGACATTGGAAATTTCTTGACACTAGTTTCATTTGTTTCCTCGTGCTCCCTTGAGGAATCGTTTTGCTGATTTCTTTCGTTTGCTTTCATACTTTCGAGGCTGTTATAAAGGGTGCTGTCTTTGGAGATATTCTCCAGATTGAAGTTGCCTAGTGTTTGACGGAGAATGTCTCGTGTCATCTTGCAAGCCAGCTCTACGAACGCCTGGGTCATTTCACTGCTATAAACAGAAGAGAAATTAAGGTAATTACTGAAGGGCTGAGACATGGCAATAAAGTGGAAAATCTGACAGAATTTATGTAAAACATCCCAAAAATGATTCATTCCTACGTACAGGGAATTAGCGTTTCAGGTTCGAGCCCCAGCGAAGGTCACTGTGTGGCATTCTTGTGTACTTTACTCCCACAATGCTCTGCTCTTCACAGTGTAAAATGCGTTGAAAAGAATGGCTGCATGCTCAGTTTAAATCCGGGAGCGAGAATTCAATAGCTAATACGGATAAAAGTTCTTGCCTAACTCAATTTATTGACGAACATTCTCTCCTACCGATTACCACTCTTTGCTTCTGTATACTCCAACAGCACTTCACAGAAATGTCGTCCCATCTCTTCAAAGTCCCCAACATGAAAATGTCTACCTTTCTCCCTACAAAAGAAGTAAGAGAACAGTGTCATACCCAATCAAAAGAAGTAAGAGAACAGTGTCATA